AGGTGGTAGTACAAATGGGTCTGTGTGCAAGTCTGCATTATATCAATTTATTATTTCTATGCAAATATTTTAACTATGTTAATTCCACCATTTTTTTATTTCATATACTTCAATATACATGTACATGTTAGTTTAGTTTTATACACATTTAAGTTAAATATATTCTGTTCTAAAAACTTAGATGTCATTTTCACATCATAAATCATGATTATTTTCTAACAAAAAACTCATTTGGAAAAATAAAATATAAAAACAAAATAAATATTCCTGCTTACTTACCCAGTAGTTTTTCAGACAGTTCACAGAAACACCAATTTTGTTTTCATTTTGCCTAAAACAGAAAATAGCTATGATTTTGAACAATTTTTTTGTTTAAATATAACCACATAAAAGTTACCAAATCTTGTTTTAGATACAGCATGGGCAAAGTTACTCTAGTGAAAAGCTAATGTCATGTGAAATGTCATGTGAAAACTAAGGGTAGAGTAAGTACCATTTTGTTGAAATTGGTCATGTGATGGAAACCATAGACAAATTATGACACATGGCATGCAATAATTTATGATGTGATACAATATGACGTTTGTATACATGTATATATGTATATATCATATTTTGTGACACACATGAATATAAAGTGAGTAGTTTTATACTTCATTGTCAGAAAGTATTGATGAATATTTTCCAGAAGTTATCGATTTAATATGAACAAAATCCTGCAGCATTTAAAAAAATTGAAAAAAAAAAAATGTTTAGCACAACCTTGACATTGAAGGAAACTACTTCGATGCCCAAGTCCTGCCATTGTGTATTGTCAAGAATTACGAGTATTATCAAAAGTATCTTTTTTTTTTATTTAGGTAAAAACATTAGAAAGAGCGCTTTATATCAAGCACTCTCTTGTGCAAGCAATGAGTGAACATATTGAGAAGATAGAAAAAGAATGTGAGAAAACAGAAGAAAAATATACAAGTCAAATAAGAGCTTTGAAAGACGAAAAGAAGCAAGAAAAAGAAAAGGAGTCACAGCAACAAGGAAATGTAGTAAGTTATTTTCTTTATCCTTCATTCACACTTTATAATGACTTTATTTATAACTTGGTATAGGGAGTATACTTTCTTTGTGATGACTGAATACAAATTCAGCTTTTAATGCAAATACACAAAAATGCATAAGGTTTGTTAATAACACTTAACAAACTAGAATAGTAACTTTTACATGTGAATAAGAAACCCGGATTCTCTTAAAACTAATACTATATAAAGGTGTTACATTTTACAGAAAGCATATAGTGGTGGAAAATTGTGGATAAGTATGAACGTTCTCTCTTATTGGTTGAAATAAAATTAGGTCTGATTGGTTAAACACTTCTATGAGAGTATAAAACAAAGTAACAATAACTAAAAAATTTGCTTCACAAGTAAATGAAATACAAATGATAATAATAATAAGGATTTTAAAATATATTATGATTTTACAATATAAAAAATGGCAGGAAAAGTATTTGGTTCCCAAAAGATAAAGTGATCAATGATTCTATTTCTTTAGAGATTCTCGCCATTATAGTGCCACTGTATGGGTGTATTGGCG